AACATGGCCATATAGCCCGAAAAAACCCACAAGAACCTAGTGATTCCAACCATGAAAGCCTTCGACAATACAAGGAAAATGATGTTTAATAGATACAATTTTTTTGAAAACGCAAACTAACCAGGGAAATTATTAGCTTGGCAAATAAAAGATGTAAAGAAAAAACCACTGATAATGAGAATAAAAAATAAAGGTGAAATTATCACTGATTCACAACAGATACAAAAACTATTCGAAGAATACTATGCAAACCTATATAAAAGAACTCAGGGGGAGATCAGGACAATCTCGCAGTATGTAGAGGAGACAAATTTAAAACAAATCTCAGAAGCAATGAAAGCTGATTTAGATAGAGAAATCACACCAGAGGAAGTAATTAGGACAATAAATTTGGCTAAAGTAAACAAGTCCCCTGGGGCAGATGGACTCTCAATCCTATATTATAAAACATTTAAGGAAGAGCTGGTCCCATTGTTGGTGTCAGTGATGAATTCGGTAATGAAAAAGGGGGAACTTCCAGAATCATGGAAGGAATCCATAATTGTTTTAGTCCGCAAACAGGATAAAGATTTAGATTTAATTATATTTTATAATTTATATTTTATAATCACAGTTCAACAAAGATATTGGTCTGTAATTTTTATTATAAAATATTCGCCACTATATTGGCAAATAGAATTAAGCAAGCACTGGCACAGTTAATACATAAAGACCAAGTGGGGTTCCTCCCAGGAAGACAAGTAAATCAAAACATCAGACTGATACTGAACACCCTGGAAATAGCAGAAAAAGACCCAAACAGAGATCTGGCATTGTTCTTCATTGACGCAAAAAAAGCTTTTGATCATGTTAGTTGGGCTTATTTGGAAAAAGTGCTAGAAAAATTTGAAGTTCGCCACCAATTTAAAAGGGCAGTAGGGGCAATATACACCAATCAAAGAGCAAGATTAAAAATAAATGGTCAACTATCAGACTACATTGATATACAAAAAGGGACAAGACAAGGCTGTCCGTTGTCCCCACTATTGTTTATTATGGGATTAGAAATCTTAAATGTAAGGATAAGGGAAGAGAAAGAAATCACCGGTTTAAAGATCAGCGGCCAAGAACTAAAAATTAGGGCTTACGCAGATGATATAGTCTGTATCCTAACTAACCCACTACAAAGTATTAAAAAACTATTGGATACAATCCAAAGATATGGTGACATATCAGGATTTATCATAGATAAGGAGAAATCTAAATTTTTAGTAAAAAATATAGATGTTAAAAGTCGCAAGAAATTGGAGGCCGCAGCACACTGCGAGGTGATAATGAAAGTAAAATATCTAGGAATATGGCTTTCAAACAAAAATATCAATTTATTCCAGGATAATTACATTAGAACATGGGAAGACATTAAAAAAGATCTCCTCAGATGGCAAACAATCCCTCTAACTTGGATGGGCAGAATTGCAGTAATAAAAATGATGGTACTCCCCAGATGTTATTCCTGTTTCAAAATATACCTATTATTAAAGAAACAAAAATCTTTGAGAAATGGAAAAGAGAGATTACTAACTTTATTTGGGCTAGAAAAAGAGCGAGGATAGCATACCGAAATTTAATTGATGATAAAGGAAGAGTGGGGCTAAGCTTACCCGATTTAAGGACCTATTATGAGGCTGCAGCAATGTCCTGGCTGAAAGAATGGATAAAATTAGAAAACAAGACCCTACTAGATTTGGAAGGATTTGGATTACGATTCGGCTGGCACGCATACGTGGAGGTGATAATGGAGATAAATTAAATAAAGATTTTAATAAACATATAATTAGAGGGGGACTATTGGATATTTGGAAAAAAGTACAGAAAAGGGATGGAACCAAAAAAACCCCTTTGGCTGAGACCACTAGAAGCAGTCACAAGACCAACCTTAAGGGTAGAAACAAGAACATATAAAGAATACCTTATTAGAGAAAATGAAAAGTGGAAATTAAAAGGGCGGGAAGAATTGGAGATTAATGATTGGTTTCGTTATCACCAACTGCATGAAAGATACAAAAAAGACTTGAGGATTGGCTTTGCAACCAAAGAATCAGAATTGGAAAGAATATGGGAAAAGGAGGATAAAGGGTTAATCTCTAGATTATACAAATACATACTAAGCTATAACATGGAGGACAACAGAGTCAAGAC